AAATAAAAACACGATATATTTTCGATTATATTTTAGATAAATAAAAAATTAAAATAAAACGGAGACATAAGCGTTTTAAATAGGTAATGGACATTGTTTTGATAAGTACTATGTCGCATATTTAGTAGAAGCTTTCATGTGCTGTAAAAATGCGGTAAAAGGTTTGAAGAGGAGATAAACCATAGTTCATTGTTGAATACTACACATCAATCCGATCCCTTACTTGATATAAGCAATTAATTCCTTCCACCTTTCTTTATTTTGATGTGAAGAAAAACGTTATAGTACAGGGTGTCCCGAAAGTATGCCCCCCCCCCCCCCCTAGGCAGACATATACCAGTGTCGTCATAGTATGTGTCATATAAAGATGTTTAATACTATGTTTTCAAATACACTCTTCCCAAAAGAGTGGAATGTATCATCAATAATAACTGTTTTCAAGAAGGGTAATTCAAGTGATCCTGGAAATTATCGTGGACTATTTATATCAGACTGCTTGTCAAAATTGTTCTCCATAATAATGAATAATCGTTTATATAACTATGTTCAAGAAAATCAAATGTTACAGGAAAACCAAATTGGCTTCAAGAAAAAGTCACGAACCACAGGCCATATGTTTATTATTCGTACGCTAATTGACAGATTTATACACTTTGAGAAAAAGAAAATGTATATTTGCTTTGTAGATCTAAGAAAAGCATTCGACACGATATGGCATAAGGGACTGTATCTCAAACTTCTCCAAGCAGGAATTCGAGGTCATTTTTATCACATGGTAAAACACATGTATACTAATTCAATGGCATCAGTTAGAATTAACAGTAACGGTGACCATACTGATATCTTTAAATGTGAGAGGGGGGTTAAACAGGGGGACCCACTCAGTCCATTAATGTTTAATATTTACATCAATGGTGTTGTTGAAGAATTAACACTTGAATCAGACTTAAAATTACAAAAACAAAAAATAAGTTGCCTGCTATTTGCAGATGATTTAGCCATAATTACTGCAAATAAAACTGATATGGACATAAAATTGAAAAAATTAAACAATTATTGTAAACAATGGAACTTAGATATCAATACTGATAAAACTAAAATTGTAATGTTTAATAAAAGTGGTAAACGATGTAATGATATATTCTACATTGGGGACCAGGTAATTGAAAACGTATCAAAGTATACTTATTTGGGTATGGAATTCCATGCCAACGGATCGATGAAACAAGCTGCAATTTTTATTAAAGAAAAAGCAGAAAAGGCGAAATTCAAATTGATAAGTATGCTTACACATGGTGATATTAACCTAACTTTGTGCCTGAAATTATTTGACATATTAGTAAAACCAATTTTATTATATGGATGTGAAATCTGGGGTGCTGGTCTAATAACTAATAAAGATCTTCTGAAAAATAAAGATTTTGGCCTTGAAATGAAATATGACAAGTCACTTCCACCGGAATTACTACATCTATCTTTTTTGAAGTTTCTATTAGGGGTGCATAGAAAAACGAGTAATTTAGCTACGATGGGTGAGTTAGGTAGATTCCCTCTGTTTATCAATATATTTTACCAACAAGTTAAATACTTAGATCATATAGAAAATGAAGGAACGAGTTCATTACTAATTAATGCATATGCAGATAGTATTGAACTATCAAAAGTTCATAATCAACCATCATGGTACTATGACATTGATAAAATAATGGCATATGTTCAACCACAAGATAAAAATTACATTAAAAGTAAACCGCTTGATATTAAGAAAATCCTTGAAAAAAGATATATAAAATATTGGGAAAAAACTGTCAATGATAATAAAGGGAAATTAGAATTTTTGAATAATATCAAACAACGATGGGGAAAAGAACCATATTTGAATTTAATAAAGAACGCCGAACATAGGAAATCTATGACGCGATTGAGAATAAGTGCACACAATTTAGAAATAGAGCGAGGAAGGTATACAAGACCAATAGTTCCGAGAGATCAAAGAAAATGCAAATTATGTAAAATCACCACTGGTACGGAAATTCATTTTATTTTTGAGTGCCAAAAATTGGAAAAAATGAGATATGAATACTTTGATACGTTTAACTCGATTTGCCCAAATCTAACTGTATTGACTACCGAAGAAAAGGCTAATTATATGTTTAATGCTGAGGGTAACATGTGTATCACCTTTGCAAAATACCTTTATGAAATAATTGAAAAGAGATCAACAACTATATTATCAATATAAATATATACATGTAGGTGTAGGCTAATAGTAGTTGTTGGTATATATCTAATGATCAGTCAATCACATTATATTGTCATTATATGCCATGTAAAATTTGCATTGTATGTTATTGTAATTGTATGTATAGTTTTAGTTTTATTTTATCATGTTTATTTGCTGTACACTCACCCGAAAGGGATTTTTAGTACAATAAAGCATTGAAATATATCATTTTAAAGCTTATTCAAAGTTACATTGATTCACCAAGTATCATGGTTCAACTCTCAAATGTGAAAAAATTATAGGCATTTCAAAATTTAGTGTTTGGTCAAAATTAAGTTCAATTTTACACCAAATCACTAGTCAATGTGTCCTCCTGGGCCATCTTAAAAGCAGCAATTCTTTTCGGGTCGGATGGATAATGAGTTGGAAAAAGAGAACGGTGAGGGTAGAAACCCAAAGGAAACTCTTCTAAAGTGCCTTAGCAGGTTTTAAGAGGGTTATAAAATTCCACACCCCTATTTGAAGGGCTTTTAAGGAAATAATTGCGGCTGTTAACATGTCCAAGGGTGGACTCATTGACTAGTAATGTGGTGTAAAATTGAACTTTATTTTGATAAAACACTAACTTTTAAAATGACTGTAACTTTTTCCCATTTGGGAGTTAAACCATGATACTTGGCGAATCAAT